TGGGCCTCAGTGTCAAGCCCCAGCCAGGCACACCATGGAAGCAAGAACTACACAGATTTCAGTAAGATATCTTTAATACTAATCTGGGATTAATACAGAATCTTGGAAACTGTGACAGGAATTCCCCAGCCTCATTTATAGTGAGTTAATTAAAACAGAATCTTCTTGAATGCCTTGAAATGCTTCTTCCCAGATTTCTTTCCACCCAGCTAAGTTGCCCTTAGATGGCTGTCTACTGATTTTCCCATTGCTGTCTCTTGATTGCTTATGTCTGTGTTCTCTTCCATTCCTTTCCCAGCCTCCCCATGGTTTATCAAACAGAGTTTCTTCTTCCCCATCTTCCTTCTTCCCCTATTGCTTCTTTAAATTAGGCAGCAAACATTTCCATTACTCTATCTTCACTTGCCTTCAGTGATATTAACACGTAGCCAAATCTAATTGATCTGCAGGTGAGAGTCCACTATATATGGATGGGGACGAGCAGGTTCAGACTCAGTCCTGACCGGATTGAGTGGCTATATTTGTTTTTGGGCCTCAGGCCCAGAAATATTCCACTTTTAACTCTCAATAGGGTGGCACTTCCCTATTGAAGACTTATGTATGATGATCTTGGACTCTCAGATCCTGCTCATTGCATAGGTACATCTGGGGCACCAGTTGTGCTTTTTCCTGGACCAGGAGGCTGTTCAGACAGTCACTCATGCCTTGGTTGTCTCACAATTGGGTTACTGTAATGTATTCTACATGGGCTGCCCTTGAAGACCATCCAGAAGCTGCAGCTGATCCAGAGTGCAAGGCCACGGGCAATGTTGGGAACAGTGCATTATGCTCATGTGACCTCACTGCTCTGTGAGCTTCACTGGTTAATGGTTGGCTTCCAGGTGCAATTCAAGGTGTTGGTTATCATATTTAAAGCCCTTCATAGCACACAGCCTGACTATCTGAGGGATTGCTTACCTCTATTTGTTTCTACCTATCCAGTGTGATCAAAGTGTAGGATGAGTGCACTTGGGGTCCCATCTATTAAACAATGCCATCTTGTGGGACCCAGGGTTGTAGCACCTGCCCTCTGGAATGACATCTTCTCAGAGATTCATAAGGCTGACACGCTTATGATGTTCCATAAATTACACAAAACCTGGCTGTTCTTCCAGGCCTTGGGTTAAGGTGGTTATGTAGCCACTTCTAGTTAGTTTAGTCGGGTATGTTCTGTTTATATCTATTGTTTCCTCTTTTATTTGTAAGTTGTCCAGAGTCATTGAAGAGTCAGGTGGCCTCAAAATTTAAATATAAAGAAATATTCAACTCTAAGTTTTATCAGACTTATACTAGAAGAAAGGTTTGCTTAAAAGCATTTGCCACAGTGTGGAAATATGCTCCAACCAGCCATCTGAAGACTTTATTTCTAGAAGCATTGAAGAGGGGTGGAAAGGGTTGTGAAGTGCTAGATATGCTCCAAAGAAAAGTTCCATAAATTAAAAAAAGAAGTCATGCTGTTTGGCTTCCATGAGTGTCTGCAGAAAAGAGCCTGGCCATTCATTTGATTTATAACACTGGCAGCAGCATATTCTCCACTCAGGGACTGGGATATATTCTAGAGACTGTTCCATGTTTCATTTTGGAGTGCTTACTTATATTGATATTAAATTAATTTTACAGGTCTTCTCATTATATGTTGCTACAGTCAGGAAAAATAAATTTGTAGAAATGGAAGCCAGGGAGCCTCATCCTCTTTCTTCTACAGATTTCTGAGGTGGACCACCTCTATGACATGTGACCCTCTAGCCATCTGGAAGTGAACTTCATAAATTCTAATTAGATCATTCATCTCTCTGCTTTGTATGGTTTTTCTCCCACAGTGTTCTCTCAGAATTCCTTAAGGGTTCTTTAGTTACTTGTTTTGTTCTGATGTGAAAAATGAACTGTTTCAATACTGTGGAATCCACAGAGGGTCACGTCATATGGGCTAAATAGAGACGTGAAAAGAATAGGGTCTTCTCTGTGTAATATTTGACCTGCCACTATGCCATTGTGTAATATGTCACCGAGACATCGTGTTACTGTTTCACAACTGTTGATGGGTATAAGTGGGTGACAATCCGTATGGAGGTCAACGCAGCATGGGATCAATTTTAAGACATAGCAGAGCTATTGAAAATCGCTAAAAACTTTATCTTTCTATAGGTATTAGGAGCTAATGCCTCTAAGACACAGTGGTGCTACAAGAATGAAGTAACTCTTATATTGGAAAAGCATGCTCAGAAATCCATCATATCATATCATATCATATCATATCATATCATATCATATCATATCATATCATA